GAAAAAACTTTTTCAGATTTTCTACTTTAAAATTTCACAATTAATTCAATGTGTTGCCGTTTCTTTGTAACAGTTTGTAAAATGACTGACTATTTATAAGTGGGAATTGTTTTTATTTTTTAATACTGTAATAGTGTATTTTTTAATAGGGAATCAGTCTGTGTCAGGTGACAGATCTCTTTCTGCATTCTCATTGGCAGTCAGCACATCCCCTCACTGCTCATTTGCATAAAGTTCAACTTTCAACCAATCACCAGCTTTCATTTGATTCATCTCAGCTGGCAGCGTGAACCCGTCAGCAAATATATCCAATCTATAACAAACACTATAAAGTATGAACCATCAGAAAAGACAAAAAACATAGTAAATATAAATCTGATTTTGATTCTATTGATTGTAACAGTGATTTACTTATTCACTATTGATGCTGTTTTACTGAGTTACAGCAGAAGTTTGATGTGAACACAAGACTGAATTCAATTAGAACATTTTAAGTAGTAAATAATGCAGATTTAACAGTTAAAAATACTCTGTAAACATGACAACAGTTGTTATGCTGTTAGACCGACAGGTGTCAGTCATGTCATAGTCTCTTATTCACTCACCCTCAAGTTGATCCAAACCGTTAGGATTTTTTTTCTCTTGTGCTGAACACAAAAAGATATTTTAAAGAATGTTGGTATCCAAACAGTTGCTTGTAGCCATCGACATCCATAGTATTTTATTTATTCCCCAATAATATGGAATTCAAAGGGGACCAGCAACTGTTTGTTTACATTCGTCAAAAAATCTTCCTTTTTGTTTAACCGAAGAAAGTTTTGGAACAACTTGAGAGTGAGTAAATGATGACAGAATTATTTGGATCACTTTTGGCTGAACTATTCCCTTTAACACAGAAGAACTTAATTTTACTGTGAAGTTCAGCTGAGAAAATTATAAATACAAGCATTAAAGGGGTCATATGATGCTATTTTAAAGATCATTATTTTGTGTATTTGGTGTAACAGAATATGTTGACATGCTTTAATGTTCAAAAACACATTATTTTCCAAATCCTGTACATTATTGTAGGTCCTCTAAGCCCCGCCTCTCTCAAACACGTCGTGTTCAACAAAGCCCCCTCCTTTGACAAGCGCAGTCTGCTCTGATTGGCCAGCTGACCCAGTGCATTGTGATTGGCTGAAC